GATGTTAGTAGGTCGGTGTAAGCTGTATTTATCAGTATTTTAACATTCAAAGTATTGATTGCATTTATGGTCACTCCTATCTGTGATGTTTATATTTACTTTGTTTGAAACTTTTACTTTTCAGATAAAGTCAAAGTTCGTTCGTGCGGTTTCATTCTCTTATTGAAAATATATTGTCAACGACGTCTCGTTAATATAATCTAATTATTAGCAATATTTCACAAATTTACTTCCCAGTCTATTTGTCATTCGATTACTTCATATCAATTCAAGGTTACCTATACAATCAAAGATTCAATAGTTGACGTCAATAACCAATACATTTATTCGCTATTAAAAATTACTGATCGGTAAATCTGTTTATGAATTTCATCACTGATGAATCATTTAGTCGACAATAAGTAAAAGCGATGACATCTCCTCCTACGAAAACGCCGTCTGAAGCATCGACAGAAAATTCAATCCGCGAATATCAAAAATAAACGAGGCTCTCCAAAGCGGTCAGTTGTAACATCGACCGCCGAATTTGTTTCGTCATTTGTCTCTCTATGCAGCTTTCACTGCAAGGCACTAGATGAACTTGGGATCCAATACCAGACAGCAGCTGTTTCGACCCGACAAGTCTAATCATTGGACTGCCTTGAATATCAAAGATAACAGAGGCTCCACGTTAGATGATGTGACAAATTAATGAATTAACTGTCTTAAACAAATTTAATTCCAACAATTTTGCACAAAAGTTTGACATTTTCAAACTTATATATTGTATAAGTTTGAAAATGTCCTCATAGGACGAAACTGCAGTAACGCAGTTACAAATAAAAGTAGTAAAAAACATAGAAAGTTCAATTCCTCTTCTCTTTATTAATTGATCAATTGATTATAGAAAATTAAATTTTTTTGAGTATTTAAAAAAAAATATTTTCTTATAAATACAAGTATTCTACTTAAAAAACATACACTTATTCATTTGCATGATATTTCCTGAGCTTCTCAATTATTTGAGTTCAATGATAAAAAAAATGAAAAAAAAATTGTCAGATTAGGCGAATCCCTCTAGATAATTTTCAGATCATGAGACAGCACGTCGAAAATATGAAGATGAACCATATATATCTTAATCTGACGCGCTTGAGTATTTTTTGAAGAGTTATGCGAGCTTGCGTCAGATCTAAATCGTCAGATTATTGAATGAGAGCTTTTTTGTTGCACTTAACACCCCCTTAGAAAATCTGACGCACTCGATTAATTTTTTTTTTCCACTTTCAACCCTTACGTACAACCACCCACATCATGCAAACGATCAGATTAACATACCAACATTATTAAAAATACGTAGGACATTGATGCTATCAATATCTGACGCGCTCGAGTATGTCCATGCAACAGTATTTTTTTGCATATTTGAAAATCTATAGCCGCTTCCCCCACCGATCAGAAGGTATATATTATATAACATTTTTTTCTTCCTATCATCTAAGCTTTGCAACCTAATATATCTCAATGACGCTCGAGTAAGTCCCCATTTTGCATCGTGGGCTCCCCTGCTATAACATAATAAAAAAAACGGAACTATTTCGATATCCATTCCTTCAGACTACTTCACATTTTTGTCGAGGACAATACACAAGCACTATAGGGAAAATCCTATAGGCGCTCTGAGAGCGGTGCCTGTGCGAAAGTAGCGATGCACATTGCATTTGAATCGCTGGAGATTACATACATTGAAAAAACATTCTCAGGAAGTTTATTCCACATAAATGCAGTTCTCCAGATGAAAGAGTTCTTGAACAGTGAAGTTCGAGGTGTACTGAGTTGAACCTTGAAACGAAAATATATATATAAAAAAGTGACAAATCGCCAACCTTTCTTCGATGTTCCAGAATATCAAGGTTGCAACTCATGTTCGTGTGTCCAATCAGGCGGATCGCTCTCTTCTGGATGGAACCAGCAACTTCAGCTGGTTCCATCCAGCTGAAGCTGCTGGTTCCATCAAGCTACTGGTAAGCAGCCTTCACAATTCCAGCGACATGATTGTGCCAAGACATATTGATGTCCATTTCAACCACCAACAAACTTATCGAAGCAGAAAGCGGAATTGTCTGTCCCTACATTATTATATCCGGTTCAGGGACATTTATCTTTTTGGAGAAAACCGATGATTGCGTTTTGTTAGCATTGAATTGAACCTGGTTACTTTCACCCCAATTCATAATCATCTCTAGATCCTCATTAAGATATAGAACTTTCTGCTGCATGTGCAGATGTGCTCCATAGCTGATAGATGAAGTCGTATAGATGAAGTTATAGCAGGAAGAGATTTCATCGCCGTTTCCTAATATCCAAACAAGTCCAACTCAATATTACATATAACGTACATTTTCAAATAATTGTTGGTACTCATTGATCTAACTAGCAGTATTATATTTCATGCTTGATTTTTGTAGCACGAATATTGATTTGAAAAAAATATGTTAACAAAAAAACGTGTTTGCATATGCATTTCAATATGGCAGTGAAACAGAAGAATGGAAAAATCGTAATCGCTACACCATTCAAAATTTTTGGGTTCTATCTATTGACATAACTTATTTTGGATATGTAATATTTATAGAGTTGATCCACGAGGTTAAACTTACCTATGTAACATCAATACGATTTCTCAATGATGCATTTGGATATAATGTGAGTATAGTGATCAATCAACTAGTATTTAATTTATGCTTCAATACTTTTTCTACCAGAAAAACGATTTGGAGCAAGGATAATATCAAGATCGATTAATCAGTGATATTAATTGAAAGTTTTGAAGGGAAACACTTTTTTTTTAATAATTATGAAGTTGTTTTCGATAATTCAGCAGTCAAAATGATCAAACTTTTATTGTATCATGGATTTGTTTATTGCAAAAAATTGATAATTCGTCTATTCCAATGCAGAATAGAATGGAAACCTTGGTTGATTTCCATATTTATAAGTATATTTGTAACATAATAAAGTATATTTCGAAACACACGGTGGTCATATATGTGAGAAAATTCGAAAACAAATCGAAATAGTTATGAAAATATTGGTGTTAATTGATACAGCATTTCTACGAATATTTTTACAAACATATAAAACAGTAGGTTGAATCTAAATTTTAGGCAACAGTTTTGATTCTTAAAAATCAATGGAAAATATTCCGAAATAACAACCTCCTTCACGGATATTAAGTCACACAGAAACTAGTTTTCATCAATTTATATCGACGACACATTCTCATTTTGATCTAAAACAGATATCATCTACAAGAAACCCTTGAGAAGTGGTAAATTCAAGTCACTGAAAACTCGTTTCGCCAAACCAAGTTGTTATTATCAGGCGATGCTCCCAGCTAATGACCAAACTCTAACTAGGAAAGGTACATGAAATAGTGAACAATTGGCTATTTGGAATGAGATATGTGTCGACGTTTATAGTTTGCAGATCACACTTTGTTATTTCCAGATTTTTGTAAGAATCCAAGAATCTAGTGCCATCCTCTTGTTTTGTTAATTCAAAGCATAATCCCATATTTTACAGTCATTCTCCTAAAAGTGTTGAATGGTACTAGACTTCATTTGTTTACGAAATAGGAAATCCGACGCATGCTTTTCGAAAAGTGTTTTGATAAGTCTTCAATCTGACAATCTGTTGTAGTCTTCAAATTTCTACCACTCAAATTCACAAAAAGTCCTGCTAAATATCAATGACAAAACATTTGAGTTATAATAATAATTTTTGATTTCATAAACATGTCCGTGACTCCAATAGTTTCTCATGCCTCTAATAGTTTCTCACTGCATAAGAAATCATTCGTTTTGAACGTATGAAAGCGACGAGAGAAGTGGCACATTCTATAGCATCCGTAGAAAAAGGTAGTTTTCATATGTAAAGGCGCCCTTTCACCCCCACAGAGGGCGCCCCAGTTGGAATATTCGAAAATCCTTCCTTAGTGGGCATCTAAGACCTAAGAAACGCTTATATATCAATTTTTAGCTTCCTAGGACTCACTAGTACAGAGAAACAGGGATGAATGAGTGGGTTACTTTCGCATTTATAAGTATAGATTTTCAAATTTACTGTCAAGTAGGTACGTAAATTATCATTCGATTAGTGTGAATTCGTGAGGGAAACAAATGAATTTTTCTAATGACGAGAAAGTTGGTATGTTTCAGTATACGCGATATGTCTGAGAAATGACACTAGATCCCTAGCTTTGTATGAGGAATTGTAACTTGAGGGACAACAGCCATCCAAAAGATATTTTCAATGCATTAAGAGGAGTTTACAGAATCATGGTCCATTTGAAAAAACCTTGAGTAAGAGTTGTGCAGTATCTAAAAGAGGTGGCGATACTGAAATTGGCGTTTTGATTAAGTTCTAAAGACATTCTCCATAATAATAAAGTGATATTCATTCGATTCAGGATACATACATACAGTGATGGTGAGAAAATGGATTGTAATATACATATAGCTGAATTTAATATTACAGTGACTAAGAAACTCGATGAAGAAAACTAGAGGTCCGTATTTAAAAATTAAAGATGATTAAGTCTAATGAAAGGAACGTCGCATTGAAAATTGGTTTGATTATAACAAATATGATACAATATTGAAAGTTTTTCTTCCTTTTTTCATATCATTCGAAATGGAGGCGATAAAGCCAAAATACGAAATTCGACAACTATAGTTTTTGGCGAATATTTCTAAAAGAACCACTGATATTCTCAATCTGAGATAGCAATAGTGAGATCAGCTAAAAAATGGGGCCGGTATTTTCTTACAGGTAGCACGTGAATATATAATTTATTATTGGTTGTTTCATCAATATGTCTGTGTATACCCACCCAATACGGAATGTGATCATACAGGAACACTTGTATTTCCTCCGCCTTGAACTTTTCACATTGACCGACTGACTAGAACACATTTACTTGCATTTGTACACGCATTAATTATAATGTTTTGTTCCAGGAGTAAGACATGGCACACCATTGGGTTTTTTTCGTCACTTCATGGCTTTTTAGCACATGTGCATCTTTCGAGGTGAGTAGACCGACCATCTTCAAGGATTATTTGTTCTCGCTGTTAGTTGTCGGTTGTCTTTCATATTCTAATATTTCATTCAGATGTACACTTGAGTTTATACATGTTCCTGAGTGTGTCTGAAAAATATCGTGTCATGCCATGACTGACGGAAAAGGTTTTAGAATGTTAAGGTCTAGAAATCTCCGAATGTGGGTATTACGTGAATGTTTCTTATGGAGAGAATAGGGTTAAGGTCAATTGCATATTTTTTCTCAGGGAGAAGCTGATCAGATTTTTTATTTCGAAGCCCACAAAGATTTTGTATCCACCTGTCACATAAAGAAAACATTAAAACTGCGAGAGGAATTGTGAACGTAGGAATGTAATTTGAGTCAATTACGAATCCAATACTCAACCAAATACTTTAAATATTGTATTGTACGTTATGAAACAATGAATAATGTAAAAGAAACAGATGAAAATATACTCTAATTGAAGAAAAATCTGTAATGTCAGCACTTCCACTTTTGTCATCAAGTAAATAATGCTGGTTGTAAAGTTGTAACTATGATATCAGAGGTGACCTTTTTAAATACCTATGAAACGAGGGAAGGGTGGAGATTTGTTCCGTTCGACGAATTTCGAAAACACTAACATTCACAATTTCAGTACTAGCAACATATTTGAAAGGCCGTGATGGGTTTACAACTCTAAATAACAGAGTTGTTTGGAAATCATGTAAAATTTTCAGTTTTATGTTTTTAATTGTATATAAGGAAATTTGTTGACTTTCATGAGGGAAAACGAGCCGTACCTCCATCATTTTTACATGACAGAAAATTCAAAGTATATAAAAAGTTTGAGAAATACCAATTCTTGCCTTGCTTTATAGTAACTTTATGAAATAAGTTTGAGAATTATACAAGGGGATACTTGATCATTTCAAATCGAATAAATCTGGTGCGGAAAAAAGTGTCTTTTGATATAAGTCAGTCGTCTGTCATCTCACTGTTTTTGTCATCTCTAGATGATGATAACTTGGTTAGCGATAGACTTGTCGAGAAACGGTACTTTTGTTCAGATGTGAAAGAAGTATTTTCAATAAATAAAGTATTTTAATATAATGTTCAGCAACGATATTTTTGAAATGTCTAGGCATAACAAAAGAGAATTTGCAAGTAAATAGAGAATGCGTAGTTAATTGCGGAAGATTAAATAAAAATATTGCCTGTTTTAAATGAAAATAGTTTTTTTCGATGCCGTCTGGCGATTTACTAATTTCAATTGATTTATTTGTAGTTATTTTTTCAACGATACTGTTCAAACCGGTATAACTTATACTTGTGGCATATACTATCAAGGTTGGAATCAAAATGGCTCTTGAATACCTTTCAGACTTTTGTATTTGTAAAGTAGGGAGGGTGAGTGTAGGCCCACAGCACTTCGGCCACATGTGACGCATTGTGCATCCTACCGAGGAGTTGTCCTCCTAGGTCATCGTCGTTTCTGTCCTTTTAAGAAAGGTGGACAGGTCACTAGGAAACATCTCCTTTATATCGGCAGGTGTAGGCCAAGACTCGCCGAACACACACTCTCTTATTCACGATGAGTCCGGACACTCGCAAAAGACATGCCAGACAGTTTTATCTTCCTGTTCACACATCCCGCATAGATGTGTGACCACTAGCTCCATAATATGTAGGTGTTTCCTCAGTTGAGAGTGACCAGTCAGAAATTCTACTGAAAAGAGTAGATGTTTTCTGGTCATCGCCAGATATTTCTTCGGCGCTAGCTTTCCAGGGTGGCCAGGGTGATCCTGGCAAGACTGCATCCTTTGATTTCATTCCATCTTTTTAGGGATTGAGCGAGGGTGTGACGTTTGGCTAGTTCCGCAATTGTCATAGTCATCAGGCCGTCGGTGTCATTGGGTCCTAAAATTGTTAGTTCAGCCCCTTCCTTGGCTGAAGAGTCGGCAATGCGATTACCTTCATTCCTGTCGTGTCGTTTAACCCACCTCAGTATAATGTTATTATCTAACGAGGCTTTAGCTAAATCTTAGTGGCACTCTAGTACTAGCTCTGAGACCTTTCAGACTTGTCTGAATGGTTAATCGAAAGTTATATGAAAAGGTAGGTTCCTATATCATCTTTGTTAATCATTTTCAATTATAAGTAATTACTTTTTTTTGTTCAATAACTCTTCCTATCATCAAATCAGACTGATATTGGCAATTTTGTTTTTCATGAAGATAAAACTGAAGGGATTATACCAACCCTTGAGATCGTTATCCCAGAGTGCTGAGTGACAAAATTATTTTAATTTTTTGTTATCACCGAAAATTACTCAAAATTATACAGTATTGTAACGAAAACTAAATATCAATAATATCAAATCAAAAATGAAATTGATTTTTCTGAACAAACTTTCCTGTAGATTTTCTTATCCAAAATAAGTGTTTTAAGTTGAATCTCCAGAAAATCAATGAGTTAGTTCCGAAATACCTGTTTTATTTTGATGTTTTGTGATTTGATATTATTGAATATTAAGTTTTTGTTACAGTACTGTATAATTTTGAGTAATTTTCGGTGCTAACAAAAAATAAAAATAACTTTGCACTAAAAACTTTGAAACTTAATTTACTTTTCAAAACAATTGATCGTGGTTAACACCATAGTTGTGTAATTGGTAATATTACAGGCTTTTAAAATGAACCGTCGTATAAAGGATGCTGTCTATTTATCGTTTTAGCATTGTCAAAAATTATTTCTCACTGATATTAATGCGCAATCTTCTTGTGTGTAAAAGTAAAATTTGTATCTTCACGAAACGAGAGAAGGACATATATCTTCGAAAAGCCAAGCCTCAGACCGCAAACATTCCATCAATAACAGGTGAGATGACATCAAAACTTTGAATGTTTAGCTGCTTACTAGCCAAATATTCTCAAGACATGCTATTTTAATTGCCGAAATTTATATTAACCTTCGTGGACGAAAAAGCTGAAGGTGAGGTGATATAGAATATTTTTGAGAAACACATTCAACGTATTCAAAAATTTGTTCAATAGCTTCAAAATATGTTACAACAAATTTGCGGGTAGTGCATGGTAATTAATGAATTGTAAATATATGTATTTCGGGCTGGCCAATTTCAGTTTGAATCTCAACAGTACCTTCAATAAGAATATCGCTAATTACAATTATCAACAGTTTGTTAGAGTGATGAACGCATTCATCAATTACATTTGGATATGGATTTTTGAAATCATATTTTTTAAATTTGTTTTCAAAGTTCCTTGAATCATTTGATTATGGATGTAAAATATTCAAGATCACCAAAATTTAATATATCCTGAAGTAGGTAAAAGATTCTTCTCAATTGGTATCAACTTCATATACCTATTAGAAATATTTTATTCATTGTCGAATAATAATGTGACCGAAATGATCTTTTCTATTACTTCTGTTAAAATCTGTTTTTTCCTTAACCACCTGTTGCCCCCCTACGAACGACAACTCTGAAAAGTCGAAACTTGTACGAGCTAAGGACTAACGTGGTCTTACTTTTCAACATGTGATTCGTAACATTGGCAGTTGAATCAATAATTTTGTCAAAAATCATACAAAAAATAGTATATTGTTTTATTCAGTGAAAAACTGGCGTTTCGAAACACCTAAAAACTCTTTTTCTCCGAAATTGTTCTTCAAACGTCAGAAATACCTGACATTTTGTGACTAACATATACAAAAATGAAAATTTCAGGTCACTAAAAATTCATTTACAACACCCATACTTCTATAAACATTTCTAAACAAAATCGATAAGTACCCACTGGGAACATATGCATGATTCGGAGTTTTTTTCCAAGCTAATCTTCAAAAACGAATATTAAAAGGTTAAAAATAAATGTCATCAGCATATTGTGATAAATTATCAGCTCAGCATCATTCATTAATTCAACATAGGTGAAAAATTTTGCTAATTGACCAGACATGTGCGTCCATTCCTCATTATAAATTAATAACCATTAACATAGTAGTTTTATCCACGAAGTGATTATACAATTTGACAGGATTAAATAGATTTATTTCACGATTTTCTGCAAATTCAATGACAAAAATATACAAGTGTTTCACGATAGTTTATTCATCTGATATCAAATGAATCAATGAAATGAGAAGTTACTACTATACAATTTGGCAAATACTTTTCTTCTGTGTACATGAGTTACGATTATAGAATTTTATTTTCCCTTCCTCAGTAAGTATCATAAAAATGTTCATTTGTCGGTTATATTATGATTCATTTGTTGTATACCTTTGATTGATTGATTGCATCAAAATTTGTTATCTGACTTGCCTGGATAAACACCAGATAGTATGTATTCATCTTGTGGCAACGATTAACAATATACCTCTATTTCGGGAAAGAAAGTTTTTGGCTTTCTACTACTCCATCTGATACAAAAAATGGATGAGAGAATCTTCCAAAGAAAGGAAGGATTAATCAATTTGAAAATAAGTAACTCTATACATGGATGTGTAGATCATGCAAAGAAGTAACTTTCAGACACAAACTGAAAGAAAGTCCACCTGAAACAGCTACTTTCATATAAACATTGAATTACACGAAAGGAAAAATTCTTTCGAAACAAATACTTCTATATGAACACTGAATTATACAGAAGATACTTTTCTCTATTCAATTTGTATATCGAACATTCGTGGAGGAATAAGAATCAGATATCATTCATATGAGTTCTATTCTATTCTCTCATCCATTTTTTTGTATCAGATGGAGTAGTAGAAAGCCAAAAACTTTCTTTCCCAAAAAATTAATCACTCCTAAAAATATAACCCTTTCAAACCTCTATTTCATTCTTTATTTTTTTCTGTATTTTGGTTGTTGAACCCCCCGCAAACTGAAAAATAATCAGTTTATCTATAAATTGTTCACCTCTTGTGATTTAGTGCCTCATATTCGCATAAAACATAAAGACCTATATCTGTCCCTCTGTT